AATTAAATGTAAATTACTTTTTAAAATACCAACCATTTGCTTTGGCAGCCTTATCAGCGAATGGTAAGACAGTTGTAAAATTCTTAATAAGCGGAGCTAGCTCTTGATGCCAAGCTATCCAGGTACTCCTTTTATTGTTAACATTGTTGTTATGAGACAATACACGTTCAACATCTGTATCGATAGTTTTATTAGTTTATATATACTGTCTTGTCAGTAATTAACTGAAATTAGTACCTTTACGCGTGTAGTTCTTCAAGACTCCCGTACGAAGTGTGGATAGTCTCAGCAACTCTGCTGTTCCAGCAAAGTGAATCAGCTATAAAAAGTAAAACTGTTTAAAATCCATTTAAACGTTGGCATTTTTTTTCTTTATTCAATTTCATTAAGAATATTACTGTTTCAGAATCTTCAGTTTCCAGTAAAGCATCGCCTGCTTTGTCGGCAACATCGTATTTGTGTTTTAAAGATGGATCGCTAGTGTTCGAGACATTAGCAACTTCATTTTTTTGCATATTTTTGAAAGTGGCGTAAGAAATTAATTTTTCTTCCTATAAATCAAGAAAACGAATGTATTTAAGTAACTACTTCAAGTCCCAGTTTTCGTTTATAAATTAGTTAAAAATTACTTGGATGTTTTTGTATTGGATATATTTGGTCAGACATTTACCCATAGCGACAGTGTTTCACTTGACGGAGAATTAATGAACGTCCATTCAGCATCAGCTGTAATGTTACAATTGTCCTCGTATTCGAATTCGGTTATCTCTAGGAAAGCTTTAATACTGTCATGTTCCAACGCGACCGCGCAAAGCGCGAGTTCAAAGATTATCCAAAACCATTGTGATGGCATCCCTTTAGAAGAACAAAAAAAATAACAAATTAAAGAAACGTTGCAATAAAATTAAAAAATTATGTGATACAATGTACGTATGTAATTGTATCGAATAAACGCTTAGGTTGGTAATTGCAAGGTACCCACGAAGAAAAAATTGACACGTTTAGTAGAAAAGAATGTGTCAATTCTTTACCTCGTAGTTATGGCCACTTTTCCTCAAGCTTTAAGTTATCTAATCGCATAACTTTAAACAATTTATATCAGATGTATTCCGTGTACTTTATTATTTACTCTGGAAATCTAAATAATATTGAATTTTTGTTTCTTTATCTACCGATAATGATTACGTATCGTTTGGAGGAAAGTTTCGTTACGTACGTCGTTCAATCGAATTTAGTAAGATACATTTCTTAAATATTTTCTAAAATTCCTTCCGATTATTAATTTTTGTAAAAAAATGCTACGAAGAAACAGGGAAATGTCTCATCGACAACGATGCTGAAAACCTTTTAGACATCGTCGGTTTTGCTAAATCATTTTCATAAGTATTCCATTTTCCAGTTAGTGAGCGGAATCTCGTGGTTTGCGTTACTAATAGAATATTATATTAGTCATGCTCCCAATGAATCACTCGATCATTGTTATTCCACTTAGCGGAAACTTGGTACTTATTTTTAATCTTACTCATCGTATACCACTTCACGACTCGAGTACTAAAACAATTCAAGTACGGAAATTTGAAGTTTAGATCGTTGATTTAGGACGATGAAAACTCGCCACAAAAGTAATGAAAGAAAGTTCATAGAGACACGAGTGGCTATTTCGTTCCAACGCTATGGATAGTTTTCGAAGAAAATTATAATATCGGTGTCAATATTAATGCACGTTTATAGCTAATAAACGTTTATAGGAGACTGTAAATTATAGCAAGGCTATGCGTCAAGCAACAAGTGTATACAGTTTCGTAAAATCGAACAGCTCGTCTCAGATGTATCAAAAATAACGGAAATACAAAGATACTTTCAACGCGGGAACGAGACCAAAAGAACTAATCTTTTTATTATTTCCACGTGTCAATTTTATCTACAACATTATTTCAATCGATAATGAATTTTCCAATGGGAGATGTATTTGTAACTTCGTTTCGAATGCGACGCTTGACCTTTACGTACGCATGTTGTTACGTGTCATTCGTTGTTTTCCACGTAAGTCATGAAATATACACATAAACGGGCATAAGTTAAGAATCACGACCGTGGTTCGTAACTCCTCTACCGCCCGATTGGCCACCATCGCGCCACTGTTACATATTTAATTGTTTCCAATTTGGCATGCATCTGTGCCCCAAGCAAACGCTTACCATCGTACAGGCCGTTATGAGACTCTATTGACACGTTAAATTAAGCGATCATCGATCCCTTATTACAAAGACGGCGCGTTACATATAATAACGCCGAGGAAAATTGTTGTGTGAACGTAGCAACCATTCCCATCATAGTTCCTTTAATTGACGAGTGAACGTCAACGAACCCACTTTTCCCGATTAGCGCCACGTGTACTCGATATCCTTTTGAAACATTCATCTTAAATACCATTAGGTGTAGAAATTAATTCTGTGCCCTTGTATCGAACCATTTATTATTTTTTTGCTTTGTAACTCTAAGTAGAAACATTTACTCGTCATTTTGTTATGTAAAAGTATAAATTTTCTAAGTTATAACGTTGCGAAATTACATTGCGCATCGGTGTCCACGCAACAACATAAGTATGCGCGGTATCATTGAATCACAGTTGACCCTTGAATTGGAAATTTAAAAGTTTCTGGAAACGCATTTGATCGCGCATGAAAGAACCATTAGCTGTTCATCGACAAACAATACATTAGGGATCTGTTACAAATCTATGAGGGTACTGAATAAGAACATTCTTCCATGAATCGTATTCTTTCATTTTGTTCGCAATTTTTTTATCGAACTTTCCTCGTCGCACCCTATCGTTTCAGTGTTAATAATTTTTAGATTTATTACGTACTACACTTTATTTACATTTGCGTTATCGATTCCACGCATCCTATGAAATATGTAATCGCAAACGTTACCATTGTTTGCTTTCGTTAAGCGTGAGTTAAAACTTGCACAACGTTCCAATACATGGAAACGTTAGGTCTTTCATTATTATCGACGTTGAAGCACGTACTACGAAAAAAAATGTAAATAGTTTTGACAAGAACTGGTTCGACCGGTACTGTTTTCATCGTTGTTAATTTACGTTGGGTTTGTATTCATTTCCTTGAATGGTTCCTAATGACGCAAAAACCTGTATAGGGAAAAGAAACGTTTGTCCTTACGATGAAAGGGGCATTCACGTACACGATGAGTTTTCGCGGAACGGAAGACACTTTCGTGTTCACTGGAAACGTTTGATAAATTTATGCAACGCACCGTTTTGCAAAAAAATCACTTACTACGGAGGTTCTTTCATTTTCAAGGAGCACTGATGATACGTTCTTATTAAACATGATTGACGTATATATGTATATCTCGTGCGGTAGCGTAACTAACAATAAGTATATGCGATGGGATAATCTTTAATTGCAGGAATGGAAGGGAGAGGGAATTTTTCGAGTTCATTTTTTGAAGTATCAAAACTTGGAATAGAAAAATAAAGTAATACATATTCGTTAATTGTAATTAATTAAAAAAGTAATACGTATTCCTTGGTATGACGTTCAAATAAAAAATTGTTTACACATGCGTAAGTCGATGTTTTAATTTCTATTATTTCTGGAATACTTAACATTACAATCATCAGACGGCTGATTGCAATTCTTAATATTCATACTTCATATTGAATAAATGCAAATACAGTCTTCATATACGCATCCACTATAAACGCATAAAATTAACGATCCAACAATCGAACTCATACAGGTGTTTACCGGACGTCTTTGCGCCCTTAACCTAGGAACCCAAACGATTAACGTCACGTGTTACTATCTAGGAAGATATACGTATTATTTGTATTTCTCTAGCACTCGACTGTTGTAATTATACTGACAATAATATATTTTCGTTCTGATTGGTTTTCTCTGCTATATCTATACAAGATATTCTATTTGAAAAATAGATCGCAAATTCGATCGAAATTCGCATTCGAGGGTCCCGATTGTTCACGATTTCCGATTGAATGGTCAGGTTTATTTCAGTATGAGGAATCAGTTGTTAGTTGGACCTGAGTCAAGGAAATAGATTTAGTTGAAGTTTCCCAAAGTATTTAGAAAAATTAGTTTTAAAGGAGATATTAACAAGGAAACTCAGCGATCGCAGTCGACGAAATTCGCACTCGAGGGTCCCGATTTTTTTCGATTTCCGAGTGAATGGTCAGATTTATTTCAGTATGAAAGATCACTTGTTATTTGGACCTGTGTCAAGAAAATATCTTTAAGTTTCCCAAACTTGCTTACCTTTCCTAGCCGAGCGTCACTTCGCTCGACGTTCACGTTTCACTTCTTTTTTTACGAGCGCCTTTGGTGTGCGTGCAACGAAGATCGACTGACCGAGAATGACAGAGAACAATAGAATGCTGGCACAGAGATGGCTCGCGTCCTTCCCGTAGCTCGACTTCGAACACAGCGAAACAATTTCGAGAAAAATTCGTTGTTTTAAATGAGAAACGAACGTTTAACGCGATCCTGCGTGCGCACACTATCGCGGATCAACTATTTCGTCCTTATCTCCCTGTGAGACTTATACCACATTGCATGTTCACTCTATGACTATTTGTACAAAGTTCGCACGATCCAAATTCCTTTACATCATGCCACTTCGCATCAGCGGCAGTGCGTTACTGTGGCTGTTCTCGCAGACTTCACCACTTCACATTGCGACGAGTACCGACGGAAACCGACGGCTACCGACACCGACGCTGAAATTTGTATACAGTGCCATGGTACTCACCGATACGCTAGATACGAGAAGGTTGAGTGTGTGATGCCTACTAGCGCCACGTGAATTTATGCCTCTGTAAATTATTATTTTACAGTGTGAAATACACAACTAATAGATACACTTTTCAAGTCATACTTCCATCTAAGTATTGTTGTTAGATTTGTTGACCATTGTAAATTTAATAATTTAATTATATTAGGTTATAATTGAACACATTGTAGCAATTTGAAGTTTAAGTGGAAGTAAACTTACAGTCTCCCATAAGTTTACTAAAAATAATTTACATACAAAATGTCATCAGAACCAAGTTGTAGTAAGAATATTGACGAAGAGAACACATTTAAAATTTTAATTGCAACTGATATTCATCTTGGTTATGATCATAATAAAAAGAGGGGTTGGTTTCTAAGACAAATGTTATATTTACATTTTTTCTTTCAATATTCTCATCATATAACTTCTTTAATATGAAATATATTCTTCAATACATCTTGATATCTGAAGTCTTATATTTATATGTATTGAAATTTATAAGGAAAAGAACCAGAAGATAGTTTTGTAACTTTTGAAGAAATTCTTCAACATGGCAAAGAACAAGAAGTAGATTTTATACTTCTTGGGGGTGATTTATTTCATGATACCAAGCCATCACAAACTGCACTAATAAAATGCATGGAACTATTAAGAAAATATTGTTTAGGCTCTAGGTCAGCAAAATGAATTTACTTGATAAACAATGTTATTAATTCTATATATGTTTTAATTGTATGATGTTCATTAGGGAAATTAAAGTACAGTTCTTAAGTGATCCTGATGTTATATTCAAACATTGCACTTATAAAACTGTAAATTATGAAGATCCAAATTTAAATGTTAGTATGCCAGTATTTTCCATCCATGGTAATCATGATGATCCAAGTAAGAAATACAATATTTATATTTGTGTTTTCAATTTGTTTCCTTAATGTTGTTTAAAATTATTTCTTCTACTATTAAAATGATAGGTTTTGGGGCTGTTGGATCTATGGATTTGTTGTCAGTATCCGGTTTAGTAAATTATTTTGGAAAATGTACAGACCTTACTAGAGTGACTATTCCTCCTTTAATAATGAAAAAAGGAGAATCTCATCTTGCTCTTTATGGTTTAAGCTATATAAATGATGAGAGGCTGTCTAGATTAGTGAGAGATTATAAGGTAAAGTTGTAGGAAATACATTAATGCATTATATTCAACTTTACATTTTTTTAAAGGTGGATATGTTACGACCAACAGAAGTACCAGAATGTTTTAATATACTTGTTCTACACCAAAATCGAGTACAGCACAAAGCATATGGATACATTCCACAACACACACTTCCAAATTTTCTTAATCTTATTATATGGGGACATGAACATGAATGTCGTATCACACCAGAATTTGTTCCAGAGACTGAGTTTTTTGTTTCCCAACCAGGTATAGTACGCATTACATTATTCATTAAAATTTAATCTTACACTTAAACATTTCTGTTTTAGGGAGTTCTGTAGCAACCTCTCTTTGTGAAGGAGAATCAAAGCCAAAATATATTGGTATCTTGAGCATAAATGGACTGAAATTTAAAATGAAGAAACTGAAGCTAAAGACAGTCAGACCATTTGTATTTGATAATTTGATTCTCAGTGACCAGAATATATCCAATGATTATACAGAATCACTATCACAGTCTGTGTATAATTTTGTTGATAACTATGTAGAGAATGTGCTTATGCCTCAAGCTGCTGGACAACTAACAGGTCACCCAAAACAACCTCTTCAACCCCTGATTCGTTTAAGAATATTTTATAGCAACACTGATGAACTATTTGATGAGGCTAAGTACGATTTTATATTATTCACTCTAATAACACATCACATATGGCAATGTTAAAATATAACAATGGCATATTTTAGATTGGCACAGAAATATTGTGATGAAGTTGCTAATCCCATGGATATGGTTCTGTTTCGTAAAGAATTGAAAGGTGGTAAAAAGTTAAAATTGAATTTAGAAGATTACAATGATGAGATTGATGATATGGAGCAAGCTCTCTGCTTTAATGACGTAAGTGTAAACCTACTCACTTTATACTCTTTGAAAGTAAGATTGTATCAACTTCATGATTAGGAGGATACGGATTGGAACAAAACTGTGCAAGGAGGAATAATGAAGCACTTTAATTCAGAAGCAAATAGAGATAAGTTGACAGTACTAACAGTTAATGGCTTAAATGAAGCATTAAATCGGTTTGTTAGTGGAAACGACACAGACGCTTTTAAAGATATAGTAAGGTAAACAACTAACACGATATTGTACAACTAGTGTATTCTAAAGTATCGTGTGGGCATTATTACTGATCATTTATGTTTAGTCATCAAATGAAGAAAACCATTTCACATTTGGAAGCTTCCGAAGTTGATAACACTGAAAGCATTCTTGATGAAATTAAAAGTTTTCGAGACAAAAGAATGGCACAAAAACAAGAAGAAAAAACAGAGGTATATAGATTACATAATTGAATCTTATTCATTAAATGATTATGGATTATTTTGTAGATACAAACAGTATTCAGTGATAAAACAAGGTTTGGTAAAAAATATGTGGACCCTGAAATCGACAAGATCAGTAGTGATGAAGAAGTTCATATAGATAAAGTGTACGCAGCTAAAAGAAAACAAGGTAGAGCACCGACAACTAGAGGTAGAGGATCACGAGGAGGTGGTCGAGGTAGAGCCAAATTAATGGACAAAACTTCTCTCGATGTAACAACAGCAAAAAAAACAACTAAACAAACCAAACATCAGGTATATTGTAGATCTACTTTAAATTTAAAATATCACCATATTTTTCTTTCATACCACTAACTATTTGTCTCTATTGTATGTCATTAGACTCAACTCACATTACAAAGCACGGGATCAATGATGAATCGAACTAACTCATCCAAAGCAAGTTTCCTACTTGAATCAGATTCTGAATAAAACAAATAAATAAATAAAAAATATTCGTGAAACATTGTAACATTCCTACTGAAATAAATTTATTTTTCGTACTTTTTAAGATAGATACATTTATTTATCGACCTTATGTTTATTCTTAAGCTACGATTTTGAGTAAACTTACCATTGTCCACACATTTATAATTCATGCCAGTAATAAAAACAACGATTTAAAACGAAAACTTTGAAAGTTTTTTAATAAACGCTAAAAACTAAGAAGTACTGTTTGATTGTAGAATTGCTACTTATATTTCGATTTTCGATACTATCGAAATTCAAATCGATCGTCGCGCGCCGGAAGCCATCTTTCTTTAGACTTCCTGCTTTGATCGTGCTGTATCGGGGAGAATTCAGTAGGTTAATTTTTAAGGTATTCTATAGAAAAACTTAACATTACGTGAAAAATAATTGTTCGAGTAAACAAAGCAAACACGCTTATATAAATCTCAATTAAAATATCTGTTTAGTATCAGTTTAATGTTAGGATGTGACTGGATATATTTTACGTCATGAAAGACTTGTGCATTTCGAACACTGTCAAGACATAACCTTAAAATAAATTTAAATTGTTTACGTTGGTTGATTTTAAATGAATAAACAGGCAGCTGAAAAATAGTATAAGTTGTTGTTGTATTACATGTTCAATATATTATTAATTTAATATTTTGTACAGAAATGCCGCCAAAAAGAGGAAAAGTACAAAAAGAAGAAGTTCAGGTTTCTCTTGGACCTCAACTTCGCGATGGTGAAGTTGTTTTCGGCGTCGCTCACATTTTCGCGAGCTTTAATGATACTTTCGTACATGTAACTGATCTCTCTGGGAGGTACGTATGAAAATAGTGTATGACATTAGTTTCAATAGGTTACATGTACAATTTTATTTATGTGCCATTGTTGCTTACAGAGAAACTATTGCCCGAGTTACTGGTGGAATGAAAGTTAAAGCAGATCGTGATGAAGCTTCTCCATATGCTGCTATGCTTGCTGCTCAAGTAAGTTTTGTGTTTACATTATGTAGAATAATATCTTTGGTTTGTCCACATTCAGGCAGCACCTAAATGATTGTTTCATAATTATAGGCGCGTTCATGTATGTGGAATATTAATTTTCTTCCTCGATTTAGAAATGTGTTTGTATGAATAACATTTCTTTACTTGAAAGAATACATATACATAATTAAATATTCAATATCAAATTTAATACCAGAATATCGATGACACTTTTATCATTAATAGGATGTGGCAGAAAAGTGCAAATCCCTGGGAATTACAGCACTTCACATTAAATTGAGAGCTACAGGAGGAAATAAGACGAAAACACCTGGCCCAGGAGCACAATCCGCATTACGCGCGCTTGCTCGTTCTAGTATGAAGATTGGTCGTATCGAAGATGTCACACCAATTCCATCTGACTCGACGCGTAGGAAGGGAGGTCGTCGTGGACGCAGACTGTAAATTGTGGTTCTATGTGTGGTTTATTAACTTTCAAAAATAAATATTAAAAAAAAGAAATATTCGTATTGTATTCTCCTACTCTACACAGGTAATACTTTGATTCTATATAATAAACATAACTTTTATTGGTATATAATTTATAATACCATTTCTTATACAATGTATACAATTTTCTAATATTATATATTTTTTTAAATAACAGTAGAAAAGTTAAATAGATTGATTAGTATTGATTCTAAAATTAATATAAATAAAATGGTTTTCAATTGCAAAGCATGAAAGAGTTAGTTTAATGAAATTTTTATCAGTTTTATATATTGCTAGATTGTTTATAGTGTAAGCATTCCATATTAGCAATTGTGAGTTCAATTATCTTTATAATTATCAGTAGCAAGCATTAAGCACTGCCAACAGTATTTCCCACAGTAATATATAATTTAATTTTGAGATCCAGCTTTTCGGGTCTTGATGTTGTGATTGTATTCACATATCCATGTTGCATAACAAATCCAACTATGACTGATGCATTTTCACTTTCCTTTAAATCCTCGTGAGGGGTTACGTGTAATTTGATCACTGCTTTGTTTCCTTTTCGCCAGATCACGAGCCTTTAAACAGAAAAAAAGTCTCGAAGTATGTAATGAGATACGATTGTAAATTGAACATTAAAAAATTAAAATTTATACTTGGGATCATCTTGAAAATTTTGAGCATCGTGATTATCTCCTGTATCATAGTATTCGGCGGTATCGTCCTTTGGTGGTAGTATAAAAGGGCTTTGAGGTAAAAGTATATCCGCATTCGCACTTATTTTTATAGGCTTAGTTTCTTCCACTACAGGCACTTGTCGTACAATAGAAGGCAATAAGTTTGGAGATTCAGGGCCCTATAGTTTCAATACCAACAAAAGTAATTCTCTCTGAGTAAATAATGTATTTTATAATATAGAATATAGCATTTACCTGTTGTACGTTCTCCTGTTTAATCTCGTCTTTATCACTCGTAACGTGTACAGGAGACATTGGCGTGTCCAATGGCAACAATATTACTTGAGTTTGATGTTGAGTTGGGTTACAAAATTTCAGTAGCAATTCACTTACTTTGCCCGGGCGAAGTGGTTCGCAAGTAACAATTCTTACCTCTGGTACATGGTAACTACAGTGGAAATATATTTCTTCAGTGAAACATGAAATTAAAAAAATAAAATGGATAACCGTACTGTAGACTTACAATGCAGCAAGCTGAATCTTAAATCTTACAGACTGTGAAGAGAGATCTGGTTTACTAACGCTATGTTCACAAACGCGGCAGCGCTGTGATCCCCTGACTAAGTACTGTCTGTGCTGTGGACGTAAATCGTTCACTTTTTCGGTTTGCACATCCAGATGCTGTAATCTTTGTTCTAATGTGGTGACTAAATTCGAAAATAATTTTTATATATTTTGAGGAAAGTTTGAATTGATATTTTGATTATCTTATTTCAAATAACTGCTTACTCTTAGTTATGTCTACTGGTTCCGTAAAAATTTCTGCGGGTAATTCCTCTACCTCTTCGCTAGCAACGGATGGCGGAGGATGATCGCTTGACTGTGTTAGAGCTGGAGGTTTCACGGCATCAACGATATGTTTACGAACCATAGCAGATGTTATGGTCAACATAGCCTTAAGACGAAAAAATGAATTGGAGTATGTAAATTTAAACAAATCGTCCAAAATGAACATTGTTTGAATGGATTACCATTTGCATATAAGGACGTTTAGGTCGAAATTTTTTTTCGCATTGTTGCTTCTCTACACGAGCTAATATTTTATGATAATCAATTAAAGCATTAATACGATTTGTATGTGGATTTTCTTGTTCAGGCCATCCTCCAGTAGCTAAACAAGGGACACAATAAGTTTAATATTTTACATGTCTTCAAATAATCAGTTATCATGATTTGCATAATAGATATTTCGGTTACACAGACCTACAGATTGATCTGGGATACCAGCATCTCTAGAAGTCCATCTACATAAGGAACAGAACAAATAATAAACTTTCTTTGGTGTTGTTTTAACATCTTTGGTATCTTCTCCTTCGGGAGGTACTACTCTTAAAGGCACATGACCAGCTCTCGTAGACAAAGCATGAAAACAGTAAGGACATTCAAAGCAGTTTGTACACCTGTTAATACATTAATTTAATAAGTGCAAAATTCATTTCCATTTGTATTAGGCAATACATTATCTGAGGATTTCAACCTACTTGTTTTTCTTAAGACGAGCCTCTGTTGGTGGAAAGATCTCCATACAATTAGGACAATAAAGAAAATCAACCTATCGTTAGAAATATTTAAAAGTTAAATATCGTTTAACTATATTAGTTAATACTGAATAATTTTTAGAATTAATATACCTCTTGACGGACACAGTAACAGCACCGAATTTTCAAGCAGTGCCTACAGAAGTAAATTTTCGGAATTGGTTTCAGAGATCCGCAGTTACAAGCGTAACGCACATAATCAGGTTGATTCAGGTATGACATGATCGAAGAGTCGGTTACCAATTGTATTTAAAAAAAATATATCAGCTGTATATGTCACTGTGACCACTTAGTCTTCCAGACTTTCTTCGACCATCTTAGACCATCTTTTAGTCACTGATCTATACTATACACACAGTTATTTATCAATGACATGCACTGTGGTGGACATAGAAAATTGTACACCATTACCCCTTCCCCTTTTTCACATGTCATTAGGTGGCGCCATCGGTGGGAAAACGCCCAAGTTTGTAGTGAAAATAGTTTCCACTGTTGCTGCTAGATGGTGCCCCAAACTAAAAAATCAATAATTACTGCTGCATTAATAATTATAATGTTTAAATAATAAATTAAAATCACATATTGTAGTGTTGTAAAAGAAATAATCGTAATAATGAAGCATTAATGAAAAAAATAAAGAACAATTTGATAAAAAAGTTTCGGTCGCGTCATCCACTAACAGATGTGGGAACTATTTTCGCTACAAACTTTTAAGCATTTTCCCACCGATGGCGCCACTGTTACTGAAATCATAGATCAGAACCATTTCTGAGAGAATTGAAAATTATAAACAAATTCTTATGTTTTCACAATAACTTCATCGTAATGCGTGGCGGTTCAACGCCACGTTATTTCATACTGAATTGATAATGTTGGGTGTGGCAACATTGACGAAACCTCGGCATTTAGGCGTTGAAAGTGGAGATTATACTTTGATACGAGTAAAAGAAATTAAGCCGAACATTGTTATTATTGTTACTTTATGAAGACTCACAATATATTTATCTTTAATTCAATCTTTGTCTATACTTTTTACCAAGATTTGCGACCAACTATATGTATCGTATAAACTATACGACACGTGTCATTCGATGCAAAAGAATCGTCCATCAAAAAGTAAAAATGAAATTTGTGCAAGTAAATCTTTGGTAACACCCAGAAAACAAAGTCATTTTGGAAGACCGCTAATTGTTGAATCGTTTGAAAAGACAAAAAAGCTCGTGGGGGCGAGGAGGTGGTGTAGTCGTCCCATGGATCGATGAATTTCGATTATCGCGTGATTCGCGCGCGCGGGGTGGGGTGGAGTGGGGGCGGGGGTGGGGTGGGGGGTTGGCAACGGTCTCCGTCCTCGTTGGAAACGCTTTTCCACTCTCGAGGATCGCGAGCACGGTGGTGCAGTCATAAAACGCGACCGAGGGATGTCGAAGGAAGCAAATCGTCGTTGAATCGTCTCGCGCGGCGAAAGAAATTGCCTAGGATCGGAGTTGGACAACCTGGAGCCTCGTCAGGGTGTGTTCGGGTCAAGATGTCGAGCGAGGAGGATCCGAGGGCTACAAGGGAGGCGAGGGAAACCACCGAGGAGGATCTGCAGATCTTTGAGACTCTGTCTATATCGTCGCCACGAAAGGTCTCTTCCGTCCGCGACAGGCGAGATTTATCACAGGGATTGAATGCACCAGCTTATCACTCTCAGTCTTTTCACAGCGCACCGAATACGTATACGTGTACCTATTTGCGCATGTGCGCATTGGTTAATCCTCCGTATTGAGTCACGTGCACTCCATTCTTGCATCGCACAGAGCTTCGCAATATTTCTTTCGTGTAGCGCACAGGGTATTCCCCTTTCGATGGTTGCCGATGAAACGTATAATTATTAGGAACGAGTATCGATTGCTGCTTGGTAGAAAATTAGTCCTCGACAATGTCCTTGGGGCGTTACTGGTCCCACTGATTCGTAATTACGGTGACTCTCGGTTTCATTGGTGAATGCATTTTTTGAATCTTTCAATTCTTCCGTTTTGTATCGGTAAAACTCATTCCAGGAGTGTTCCTATGCAATTTCACGAAGATCCCTTTTGGTCGAATTAATAAACGCGTGAACGGATTAAGTCAAGCGTCGAATTAATTGAGCGTAGCGAGGGTACGTTATCTGAGGGGAGCGCAAATTATAAAGCAATAGAATTTTAACGAGGTACAGGTGTACATTCAATTATATCGCGTCGTTAACGAGTCCCCATTATCTCCTTGTCGTTTCCTTTTTTACTTTCTTACTGTTTTTCGCATTCGAGTATTGCGTAATCGAAACCAAATACTCGCAAAGAGTTGACGTCGCGTCGTTATTGTGTCTTTCTCTTTGCGCGCCGTTACTGATGCCTACTATACGCTTTCGCGTGAATAGTAAACGTATTGACTCGCGCGCAAAGCAGGGGGCTCGGTTGCCATAGCGTTGCACTGAATCGATTCCACCTGTCGCTGCACACCTTCATCGGCGGCTTCCTTGATCATTCCCCGTCATCCTCGATTCCTACGGTCTCGAAATGTCGAATTAATTATATTTATTTGATCGTTGGTACCGCGTGATCAGTCTCGAAAGCTATGAGAATCAATGTTTTCGTCAGCCTTAAGGGATTACATAGCTTGGAGCTACATACAAATTAATTTTACATTTCTCGAAATAGGCTGGTAAGACAATCGTAAACGAGTAATTCTATAGATCACGAAAGAACGACATAAGATCAATCTCTGTATACGTCATATTACTGGATTTCAAGGAGCGTTCGTGCACGGAGGCACTCGAATAAAATCGTACGAGCCAGGACGCGAGGTCTCCAGCTCGATTTCAGTCACGTAAACTCCAGTCGCGAGCAGACGAAACTAGTTAGTTTTGCACGTTTCTGCGAGACTCGCGAGCTCGATTAGCCTGGAAATTACCTCTACTCCGCTGTTAGATTCATCGACGATCCCGAAAACGTTCGTGTTTAACACCTGGGGACGATTGGAGCGTTTTCCCGCGCGTTTCTCTCGTTGCTCACCTTCATCTTCCGACCCGGATTGCAGTGGACGATAATTTGGCGCGATTCTAAGGGGTACGTCCAGATCGGAGATAACGAAACAGTTACGGAAAATGGAAAAGGACTTTTCGATTCCTTTTAACTCGAAGAATTCAATATAACAACCTGATATATCGAATAATGTAACGAAAAGTAAAAAGTTTGATGGAATCTGTAATTGTGGGCTTTCGTATGCATTCACGTTTGCTATATATATTCACAGGAGATACTTAATCGGTGCTATAATAAAGCGAGACGTAATTGCAAGTACAAACATCCGTAGGGACGCTGGTATTGATCAATTTCCCTGTAATTCGATCCGTCGACGCTGAAGCTCCGCTGGCGTGTTTCCTGGCGAGACGCTCCCTCATTTTCGATTCCCCCGATACGTACTTTAAATTTAACTTAACGATGCTTTAATTACCGAAGCCTTTCGGCACGTGGGAAATAATTACGAGCGGCCTCCTGCAGGAGCTGCAACGAGCGTATCGATCCAAGCGGGGGTGCGAAGATAAAACCAACCGGCTGACAGAAATCGGCAAACAGTAAACAGCGAACGTGTGGTTCATCTTTTATTTTTGAACTTTTCGCCTCGATAGCTTCTATCGGCTGATTCCATCTGTATTTCGAGATGAATTGCAAATGACGCGCGTTCTTTCGCTCCAGATCTGTCAGGAGGACGCCATGACCCACGACCTGACAACCAACCTAAGAAGCGAGCTGGCAGCCCTCGAGTACAAACGTGACAGGCTTACATCCGAGGTAAACGAATCGATCGATGTCTCGACAAAGCAAATAAATAATCCCCGGTTTGATCCCTCAGCTCCAGGAGATGAAGAGCCTCGTGAGATCGCGGGATCAACGGATCGTGGAGCTGCAGGTGGAGGCTGAGCAGCTTCGCGAACAAGCTGTCAGGCAAAATGCCATCGTTTCGAGTCTAAAAAAACGTATACAGGTTGCTCCATCTCCTCGTCGTTTCTTTTCGTTAATCTTAACCCTTCGATGGCCTCGCGAGTTTTGTTCTTCGAGTAAAGTACGACGACGATTTCCATAACGTAGCCCAATCGAGGAATCGCAGATAGTTCGGAGAAACTCGTTATTAAATTTTCTTTTGACACCGCTCGTTGAGGATCTTTATCGAAACTGCGTCGTGAGCTTGAAAAGGTTAAGAATCTCCGGTTCCAAGGTTAACCTGACCCTATTCCACGCGTGTGCGTGGGTTCGTACGTGCATTGAGATGTTGTCATCCACGATAACAGGAATTGGAGGAACGCGAGAGGAATCTTTACGCGAGTCAGGGCAGAAACGAGATCACGATACAGGGCTTGCAGCGGGATCTGAAATACCACGAGGAGAGAATTCGCGAGTACGAGAAGAAGATTCGCCAGCTGGAGCAGAACCTCGCGGAGGAGATTCAACAAAAGGAACGCGCCCGTGCGAGTCTTCAGGTTAGATCTTTTGGTCATTTTTGTAAGAGAAGCTTCTCACACTGAAAGGTGTAAAATACACATTTGAAGAATTAAAGGTCACAGGTTTCTCATCCTTGCATTAAATTCTTGATGTTCGTCCAAAGGAATGCGCGAGGAAGTTGGCCCACGCATTGAACGTCGACTATTGCGATACCGCCCATCCCAGTCTCGAACTCGTGATCCATAAGGCTGAGGAGCTGGCGCAAGAAGCGAATCGTCTTCGCGCGAAAAGCACGAACGTCGAAGCCCAATTGGCTACCGTCGAGGTCGATTTCAGAAGCTGCAGAGACGCTTTGGATCGTGCTGTCGCGGAGAAGGAACAGCTTCAGCGACAAGTGTCCTCGCAGTCGATCGACTTGGACCGTTTGAGACAGGTACTCGTTTGGGAATGATTTATAAGCTGAATTACTCAACCGTAATCGGTTTTCTCGACCTGGCAGGACAAAGAGTGCCTCGAGATGCAATACAGAGTCGCGGAAAGGGAGACTAACGATCTGAGAGACAAACTGCTGAACGCCAACAGGAGCATAACCAGCGCGACTGGAAACATATCGAGCCAAGAGACAGTGATCTGCCAATTGCGAGGTGATCCTTTTAGTCTCGTATAAGTCAAAGAGCTGAGATAACATTGGCGAACGTTGGCGAACGTTGGCGAACGCTGGCACGTGTGCCTTCGGCTGCCTTGGTTCTGCTGTCTTTGGACGAATCTGCTCCTTGAATTCTTAAACCTTCCTTTCTTTCATAGAGGATTTGAAGCATCGCGAGGAAAAGATGCAGCGAATGCAAAACGAGTCGCGACACTTTCTCGAGTCCTTGGCTATACTCGTCGGTGGCCCGAACAGATACGTCGAATCTCACGAAAATGCCATCAAGGACCG